ACGAGGCCGGAACACACGCGGAGCGCTTCGAGGCTCTTCTCCGCCCAACTATCGGGGCCACCCATCTCGAGTGCGCAACGCCAGCACGGCCAGCACGGCCAGCAACGCGGCGACGCAACGCTTCTGTAAACAAGGGCCTCCCTGGGCCTCCATGGTCCTCCCCGCGGACGACGCGTGACCTCACTGTAAGTAACGACTATGAATAACAACGAGTCGAGCAGACTCATTACCGGCGGGGATATTATCTAAGCTTTCGCCGTGCCGCGCCGCGCCGGGGTCGCTGTATAGTGGCTGGCAGCACAACACCGACACCCTTATTGAACACACACACAGTCGTGGTTGCACTAGAGTTGTCGCCGGCAATTGGTTAGGAGCGACAAATCTAATTGAATCGGAATTTCCCAAGCTGTTCCCTATGCATTGCTCGCCTTTCCAAAGGCTTGATTACGTTGCGAAGGGCGAGGAGGCGGCCTTATCTCAATCACGCCCGCCTACACTGTAACCACCTTTTGAAAAAATATTTCAAACTTACGTAATATTTTTAAAAAAATGAAATTTAATTTAATTGGCTGAGCGATAGCGAAGCCCTTGCCGTGTTTGGGCGCGCTGAAAAGTGACTGGTCGTGCGTCTGTCTGTTTGTACTCACCAACGATTCTCAGCAACTACAGTGGCTATAGTTTCAAGATTTCGTATTTAACGTCGCCTTAGTACCCCCCAACACGAGTTTGTTTCAAATCGTTGTTTAGTATCGTTTGAAATATTCAAAACATACTTTTGAATCAGGTTATTAGCATGGTTAGGTTGGCAGCACTCAGCACTCACGAATTTCTCATACCTGCGGCGCGGCTCTCAAATACGGGACAGAAGCAAAAGCAAATAAAACAAAATAACGAGCAGAAGAGTTTGGAAATGAGATCGGCCATAGTTTTTCCACATTCTAGAATGATTAAAACCATTCTAGAGTATCAACACAGCAAAATATGGAGAATGGCAGTGAAAATGATTTACGTGTTTCGTTCCCCTCTCCCCCCTCCCCCTTTCGAAGGGAATCTTCTTCAGGTCAGTGCACTTGACAGAGCAGGGTAAAAAGAATGTTTTTATTTTGACCTTTTGTATTGTGGGCATCTACTTGTTTCATTTTCTATAGTGTCATCCTCTTTTTTAAATTTTCATAGTAGAGGAAATCAGGGAAATGCATAAATAACTTGTGTTGAAATTAGCAGGCATACTTAGTTTGGACTCGAGAAATACATTCTATTGCAATGCTGCAAGCTGACAAGAGTGCAAAAGTACTAACATGTGTTTATTAATAGAATCAATGTATAGTTGTGTATATATAATCCTAATAGAGTTTGAATTGATATTGGGTTCAAAGAGACGACTCAGGTTTTGAGCGGTGAGTGAATTAGTGAATGGATTTAATGAGACGATTCCTTTCACTTCACTGAAGTTAATATAACGGGTACTACTCAGTATTGCATACCTGAGTAAGATAAATTGTGTCGGTTCATTAGGCCTTGAGTAGCCTTGGCATTGGACTCTATATGACGAATCACTGGATTTGACAATAATTGGTCCCCGTTAACTGGTTCAGATCAGCCTACCCTAAACTGACTCTCTTAATATTAACTGTGATAACGTATGCCAATCAATATTGTTTTATTCACTGGTTCACAATGAAAGAATGACAAAATGTTTCATAGATATTACTTATAAAATTGAGAATTCATTAGTTAAGAAAAAAGAGATATCGAATAGTGACCCAATCATACGAGTAACCAATTAAGCGATTCAATGCTGGCAATTGAATGTTACTCGACTGAGGGATTCACATCGGTGTGGCATCAGGGGTCATGACAGTGGGTGCTTCATGAAGACAGTGTAGGAATGTACAGAAATTGAGTCTAGATAGTTGTTTGTAGATTTCAGTGTACTAGTCACAAAAGCTACATTTATTTCAATGCCAAACCTACATTTTCACCTAGAGCTACGCAATTTGGGGCGAAACTTTCTAATTTGAGAGTCATGCGTTTCCCTGCAGTTTTCAGTGCGCTGACTTCAATATTGACTTCTAAATAGTCCCCAGACCCAAAATTTAACCGATTTTGGGTCAAATTTTTTAAATTGAATTGCACATTGATTCTTGCAGTTTTTTGAGTGCTGATAGCAAAAATCACTTCCATTTTGACATCAGACTTATATTTTCATCCGAAACGAGGTCATTTTGGACCAAAATTTTCAAGTCGAGTCTTATATTGTTTCCTGCAGTTTTTGGTGTGCTGAACTCAAAAATGACTTCCAAAATTTTCCCAGACTCACACTTACCCGAATTTTGACCAATTTTGGACCAAAATTTTTAAATCGAGTTTGACATTGATCCCAGCAGTTTTTGGTGTGCTGATAACGAAAATCACTTTCATTTCGACTCCAGACCTATATTTTCATCCCAAATTAGGTCATTTTGGACCAAAATTTTCAAGTCGAGTTTTATATTGTTTCCTGCAGTTTTTGGTGTGCTGAACTCAAAAATGACCTTCAAACTTTTCCCAGACTCACATTTAACCGAATTTTAACCAATTTTGGACCAAAATTTTTAAATCGAGTTTGGCATTGATCCCAGCAGTTTTTGGTGTTCTGATAACGAAAATCACTTCCATTTGTACCCCTGGTCTAAAGTTCACTCAATATGAGTCCTTAAGATGCACATTTCGTCTTCTCAAGCAAAGTCCAAAGTGCACAAACCATGTCAATTCGCTTCGCTCAGCCACACTACGCGCCCAGACTAAACGGCGCGTACCCCTAGTTTTAGTTTTCTTTTTTCAGAGTTACGGGTGCGTGCACTGGAGCGTCCAGTGCCCCAGACCGCCCCAGACGCTATGCACCGCGCCAAATGGAACACACCCGCGCGCCAATTATTAATTTGGCAAGAGTCCCTCCCCTCCCAATCCGTTCTCATCGTTCTCACGACCATCGGATAACCATAATGCGTTACGGACTCCCCCGAATCGCATTAAAATATTGGCCTGCTGCCTTTCTCGCGCGCGCCTGTGTGTGTGTGTGTGTATGTGTGTGTGTGCGTGCGTGCGCGTGTGTGCGTGTTTGTGTGCGTGCGTGTGTGTGTGGAGGGGCGTTCCTTTCGGCAAGGACCAAGCGGTGCGAGACTTATTCTTTGGGGCGTAGCGGGGGTGGATGCAATAATTGCAGCATAATGCCGCGCGAATCAGCGTAGCATCATTCCTGCTGGCCCAGCATTCAGAGGGTCGGCCTAATGAGTGTAAGTTGGGGTACCCGTGGCGCCACCATGCGGCGGTGCTAAGAAGCTCTGTAGCCAACCTACTAAACATTAAGACACACTAAGAATTGAGATGTTTGAAAAAAATTGAGACGTTTTGAGCTGCAGAATTTTTTTTGCCTTTTTTCTGACAATTATTAAGCCATTCTCTAGTCACATTTGAGTTGTTTATTTTGCTAATTTGAGGAAACGTAAGAACAAAATGATTGTGTGTGAAGTTTGGCAGCGGGCCCCGAGCAGACGAAAATAACCCTACTTAACGTACGAATTGTCAAGCAATTATTCGATCGAGGCAACAGTATTTTTTGTAAATGTGGTATTGTCAAGACCGGCGATAACATACTTCGTCATATTTCAAATAAATAACTTAGTGAACAAGCCTGACTTTTGTCACAGCCATGGTCACAAATACCATAAACAACACCCCGATCACGGGACAGCTTCCTAGCCCCTCCGCATGGTGGCGTCGTGTCGTCCCCTGCGAGTGTAGGCACAAAGCAGGCTCGTACCGACCCTCTGAATATCAAGTTCAACAACAACAATCAGAGGATAAAACTCCGACATTTTACATTTTCAGTCTCCCTGTTGGCTTCGTCTTATTTGCAGGCAAACGCTGACTGATTGTTTTGCCTGATGATGGAGTCGTTTGCCCCGGCCTCCTGGTCGGCTGGCTGGTTGACGCTGCCACGCTGCCGACTTGGTCGCCGTCGCCGCCTTTGACTTTGTCGTGCCTTTCCGCGTCGGGGACTGGGTTAGTTGGTGCGTTGGCCCAACGAACGCTTTATCGGCAGGCTTATTTGAGTTATTCGCAGGATTGGCTCACTGGCGGGGCGGGGCGGGGCCCGGTGGGTGTCGGCTTAATGCAACGGCGCCAGTGTAATGGCGTGCCGCGTCGCCGACTTTTGCAACAAATCCGAATGACGCAGGGCGGGGCGGAGGAGCGGCCATCTCGCCGAGAATTTGAGCGCCGGATTAGAAGGATACACTTTGCAAGGCGTGCCAACGAGTGCGAGAAAATATGCCAAGTCCGTCAAGAAATGGGTCTAAGCCGGTGCCGCGTCATCGGGTTATTTTATCTTTCTCAATTTGACGCATGTGCACTTCGGATAATTCGATGACTCGACAGACTGATGGCCAAAAAAGTCTTGCAACATTTTTACGGTACTCACTAAATTATGGTCAATCCTGCCGCAATATGATCAAAACTCATAATCTAGGTAATGTTTGCGGATCCAAGCCGAATATGAATCTTGCTTGATTCTGAGCGCTGTCCGTCACCTTCCTCCGTTCCGGTTCCACATTCGCAGTCTGACCGCCAGGATGGCGCCAATTCTCACCTCTCAACCTTCAGTGCGCGCAAAACGTTCGCTAGAGTGAATAACAGTCAGTGCCGGGGGCGCCACAGGTGGTGCTGGTCCTTCTCCTTTGAAAATGTTTGAATCTTGGCGGGAAGTAAGGGGGTGGGCTTGGCGCGCCCAGCGCAGGGCAGCCAACTCCTCAAGTCCAAGTCAGTGGACCTTACCACTTAGTAAGAACGCAAAATAGCACAGGAAATTATTATTACAAAGCATTGAGAGCGTTAAAATAAATAATCTGGAATATAATAAGAGGATGAAACCATTATAATCTGATGATTAGACTTGGTGCACAACGTCCTAGAGTTGGTAGTTCTGTTGACCCTTCCAATCAATAACATGCAACATGGCGTCTTTACGTGGTCTGTTTACACTTGGTTTTATGGACATTTTAATGCATTTACCGGAGATTGAGTCTTGCTCCACCCATTCCGTTTACTCCTCCAAAGTGATTTCAAGTGCATTTTTGAAAAATACTGGCATGACATAGTAATGCAAGCTCTTGGCGAGTCAATGAAAACTGTTCAGTGAGTGGTGTCTGTCACTTAGAATACTATTTCAAAACAGTAAGATTCAATGAAAACTGTTTGAAATAAGATTAATTTATTTTGAAACATGTGCAGCATGTTATGAGTAACGTTATTGTTCGTCGCTTTTCATTCAATACAAACCAGTGTAAGTCGTCTGCTTAGTAGGTTATGGTGTGTTTTTCTTCCTTAGTCTATTTCCTACATTGCTAAAGTGTAATATCTCGGGCACATATAGGAAAACAAATGAATTCTGCTTGCTTGATCTCAAAGTGATGTTTTAGTTCACATGTAAGGTTGCAGATTAACACCGTTACCAGCGCTGCTACTTGTTCTTGTGCATGCGCATGCTTGCATGAACATTTCTTTGAAACTCATTCTCAGTAACATTATTTTCTTTTGCAAGTTTGTATTTTATTTTTTTGATGGGTTCTAAAATATAAAAACTGGTTGGCAATCATGTTCATGAGAAGGCTTCTGTTTTAATATTTTTTACCGTTGTTTGCTGAACTACTGAAAGTTTATCTGATCTTCACGATTATTTTGTAATAGGCTTGAGCTGAGAAAAGAGTCCATTTAACTGTTTGTAGCAGCCATTACTATTCTGTTACCCTCAATTGACCAAATTTTATATTCTATGATAAAAAGTATAAAATTTGAAAATAAGAATTTGTGATTCCTTTTTTTCTTTGCACGTACAATTGAATGAGAAGACTAATCTCTGCTTCATTTTGTCCAGTGTGCTGACACGGGCGTCATGATGGCTGGCGTCGCCACGCCGCGGAGTCTTCTCCAGAGCCGTCTCCAGAGCCCCGCCTGCCCGGAGGTGGCGAGTGGGTGGCAAGGCTGCCTGGGACAAAACTGAGCGTCTGCACCGGCCTCTGGCCGCCTGTGGCGGTGTTGCGTCCGTCGAGCAGGTGAGCGTCGCGCGGCGTCGCGGGGGACGCGAGTCCCTGGCCGTCCCTATAAGTGCACAAGACATAAAAAATAAAATTTTAAAAAAGTTGCACATGCGTTGATTCCGCATAGGCGCGATTCCGCATAGTATTGATCGCGCTTTAAAAGGCGCCGCCTGTCGCGCCCCGGTGCTACTCCCATTAACTTGCTCGTGGCCTCGCGCCTCGCACCGAGTCGCTAATGATCTGCAATTACGGTCACTTAGTTAATTTTCCAAGTCGATGCAGCCGACTGGTCTTCTTTTCGCGCCGCCGGCCTTTTCATTGGGCGGGATGAGTAATCCTCGTGCGGACGGCCTTGGTGACCTCGCGGGGAGAGGGGGGCGGCGACACTGGCAAAACGCCTGGCGGTTCCGTTTCCAGGATGGAGCGCCTCCCCGACGAGCTGCTGCTGCACGTCTTCTCGCTGCTGGACGACGGCGCCACGCTGCTGGACGGGGTGCCGCTGGTGTGCAAGCGCTGGCACGCCGTGTCGCGCGACCCCGAGGCGTGGGCGGGCGTGCGCGTGGACGTGTCCGCGGCGGACCGGCGGGTGCCCGCCGCCATGCGCCAGGCCGCGCGGGTCATGCTGCGCGCGCCCTTCCTCGCCCACGTGCAGACCGACCTCTTCAACGACCCCTTCGTGCAGAGCGCGGTGCGGCGCGGCGCGCTCGTTGTGCGCCACTTCAAGCGCACGCTCAACATGACGTGCGCCGTGTCCGCCGCCGAGCAGCAGGCCCTACTGGAGCTGCTGTACCGCAGCCGCCACCAGCTGCGTGAGGCCGAGATCGAGCTGAGCAGCTGGAGCAGGCAAGGGCGTGGGTTCGAGTCCCGGAGTGGCCGGTCGGACGAATGGTCGGACGCCTTGTGGGTCTGGCTGTGACGCTGTTTGCTGCTTGCAGGCCGCTGGTGGACGCGGCGGGTCGCACCACGCTGGACGTGATCGCCGTGCTGGCCGAGCTGCGGGTGCTGCGCGTGTCCGTGGACCACGACTACCCGTACGCGTCCGAGCTGGCCGGCGCGCTGCCCCGGCTGCGCGTGCTGCACGTGCGCGAGTCGCGCGTGTACACCAAGGACCGCATGCCGCTGCCGCTGCTGCGCGACCTGGTGCTGGGCGCGTCCGCCACTCTCTGCGAGTTCCGCCTGATGCCGCTGTGCGTGGTGGCGCGCCGCCCCGCCGTCGGCGCCGTCCGGGGGGCCTCGGCCGACGAGCTGCTCGCCGCCATGGTCGAGGCGCTGGTGCAGTGCCAGCGGCTGCGGTGCCTGCACGCCGGCGTGCGCTCCGAGGCCTTCGAGGTGGACGACGCCGAGGTGGTGGAGTGCGTGTGCGGCGTGGTGGAGCGCTGCACCGTGCTGCCGCCCTCGCTCACCACCCTCTACGTCGGCGTGCTGTGGACCTGGCGGCCCGACCACAACGTCGAGGTGTCCTACCAGAGCCTGCTGCGCAAGTGCGGCCACCAGCTGGACAGGTTCAAGCGGCAGCGCCCCGGCGTGGACCTGCGCGTGTACGACTACGAGCGCAGCCTGGGCTAGCCCTTCCTCGGGGGTCCGTGACCCGACTAGTGGAGCCGCGCGGTGCCACGCGGGGCCACGGGGGATTCTATTCCGTGGTTGTGCAATCCACGTCCAGCCTCCTGTCTGGTACTGCACAACTACGGAATCCGACGTGGTCTACCTGCGCACTTGTCTTAGTCGGTGGAAGTTACAAGCATTAGAATCAATGACACTGTGCACTTTGTTTAAATTTGTATTTCGGACAGCTGTTCCCTTGTAACTTTCACCGCCTTCAAGGCGCGGCTCCTTCAAACGGTCGACTTGGTCACCGACCCCTGTCCGGGCGGCCGGCCGCGCGGGCGGTTGGCGCAGGTTGGCGGTTCACGAGCTGCCCGCTAATCACAACGTGCGTGCGGCCGGACCGCGGGGCATTTAGCGAAAGCAGAGATGTGCCTAATGATACGCCATTAGTTTGAACTGCGTGATTGAAGGCGTTCTTGGCATGAGTCGCCGCCAGATTAAGGCAGGGCGCGGTTGCTCAACTCGCCGCCTGCCTGCCTGCCTGCCTGCCTGCCCGGCGGCGCCGTGTTTCGGGGCGTGCTGATAGCGCGCGTCACCTTGTCTCAATGGACTCGATAGTCTCGATCGGAGGTGTCTCGGCTTGGCGCGCGGCATGGCGGCGCGCTCTGAGCCCGTCACCGGGAGCCTTGAGAGATTTCAAGTGTTCCCCGCGGACAAGGCGCGGTAATTTCATGTACTGTGTGTGACTAACTGTCTCACGGCTGGCATGAGCACGCGCTTTACCGTACAATTAAGTGCACGCGAAAAATAAATCTAGTCTAGTCTGAGGATCGATTGTGTTACAGTCTATGTTCTGTTGAAATAAAATTGGCAATTTTACGACGGAGTGTTTATCTGACAGTTGTTTGTGAACGACTCCACGCACATCCTGCTGCCTCGCGAGGCGCGCCTCCCCCGCGTGCTGGCCGTGCTGGCCGTGCAGGCCGTCTTGGCCTCGACCCTCGGCCACCCTCCTCCGTCGCGTCTTCCCCGAGCTGCAAATGTCACGACGCCGCCGTGGCCGCGGCCACACCTGCGGTCGCCCGGTCGGCCGCGTGCTAATCCTTCTCGGACACGCACTTGGCGGCGTCCGCGGCGCGCGTCTCAGTCCCGGCGGGGCCCGCGGGGGCCTTGGTGCGACGGAGACGGCGGCGGCACGGAAGCTGGCGGGGGCGGCGTGCTCGGCGGCGTCCCGGCTTGCAGACACGCCACGCCCCGCCACGCCCAGCCCCGTGGGGCCGATCGGCTGACCCGGACGCCACGCGCACGCACGCGCTGGGCACGGCGGCGGCACGCCAGCGCACGATGCGGAAGCAGGCTGGACTGATCGGCATAGCACAACAAGTACAACCACTCGCTCTGCTAGTGTGCTCCCCACGACATGGCCGGTCGTGTTCCCGCGCGGAGCAGCGGTGCGCGGCGGGGCCCTGGGAGCCCTTGCGGCCCCCCGCGTGCTCTCGCCGCCTACATGCATGCCAAAGCACCCCATTTCGTCTAACGCCGGAGGGACTCCAACACAACTACGTAGGGTTGCCCACTTCCGTAAGGCTGCAGGGTCGGGCCGCGCCCTCGCTGGGTGACATCGCGGAGGTACTCGCACGCATTCCATTCCTTTTCGCGACCTCGCCGTGCCGTGCGTGCCGCGTGCCGTGCCTCGCCGAGACGATATTGGCTCTCACTTGGAAGCGGTCAGGCCGGTCGCGCGGCATAGCATAGCTGCAGTCCGGCAGGGCACGGCGGGGCGCAAGGCTTACGTACAAAGCCGCCGCCACGCGGCGCCACGCCCCGCACGTCCAGGGCGCCGAGCTGGCCGTTGCTTAGACTTGGGGGGTCGCACCATCACTGGCGTGCGGAGAGACTTTGTCACTTTTGGGAGTGCTTGCGGTCGTCTGCCGCCGCTAGCAGTGCGCCGTGTGCAGCGGAGCGAGCGTGGCGCTCATGCTTGGCGACGACGGGGCGGGGCGGGGTCACGGCCGTGGCGTGATCCACTCAGCGCCCCGTGCGTGGCGGCGTGGCTAGGGCGGGGCCGCGGGCCGTGACAGCCAGGGTCGCCCGAACTACACGCAGTCTGCGCAGGCCGGGCAGGCCAGGCAGCAGCGCTTGGCTTGCCTGGCTTGCCCGATCGCCGATCAAAACAGCCGCCTGCCTGACCTGCCCGACCCGCCGAGTGTTGTGAGTGTTCCGGGCCCGCCGCGCCGTGCCGCCACACACTGGTTGGGGCCCGCCCTGGCCCGCCCACGCACGTCCGCATCCGCGCCCAATTAGCTGTCCCGCTCTCGTTTCGTTTTGGTTCTCGTTCCGTTCGCGCCGTCAAGCAGAAATCATTTTCCCCACTAAGGTTCCAAGTGGTTCCACCTTCCAAGGCCGAGCTTGGTCCAAGGGGTCGCCCTTGGCTTGGGGTCGGCGCCGTCTGGCTCGTTGTGTTGTCTGCTGCCGCGGACTGGACCGGACTGGACAGGGTTCCCGCGTGCCAGAAGGCGAAACCTCCATCAAAGCTGGCGAGCTAGCTCACGACTCGCTACACCCGACTTGGCGCCCGGCTTACGAGCCACTAAACAGGTCGAAAATACATCCAAAACACACTTCTACGTACTGCTGCCTTGTCAGGAAAGTGTAGCAGCAGGCAGAGCAGGCGCCGACTCGGCCGAGAATGATCCTGCCGCTGAGTCGTGGTTAGCGTCTTAATCTGAACGGTAACGCGCCGCGCCTTCGCCGCGCTGCCGTAACTCAGCCGAGGGTGCCCCCGCCCGGCCCCGCTCCGCGCCACGCGAGGGACTTCCCCCGCGGCGATACTCCATCGCGACGGAGAGACCCCGCGCCGCAGAGCCCGCCGCCGACGCCCTCGCGGCACTACTCCGCGGCGGCGCCGACGGCGATACTCCCCACACGCGGGAAAGAAGAAGAGAAGAACACGGCTGAAGCCGGGGACGTTGTCGGTGTTGTGGTGGTTGGCGCGCGGCGTGAGTTGGGTGGCCTGCCCTCCGGGCGCACCCCGCTGCAGCCCGCTGCCTCGCGTGCCCGGTTGCCATGCGTCAAGTGGAAAGCACACTCGACATCAATTCCCCTCTCTGTTGCACGCACATAGCCCACTGCGCCGCACTGAGGCATCGTCGAGCGCAGAGCCGGGTACTCTCTGTCTCTCTCGCACCCCGACGGAACGCCTCATGAGCGCGAGAAAGACGCAGCAAAAACCCAGTGCGAATGCCAATAACTGGAGCCATGGCTGCGATTTGTTTTAACGCAGGACAGGTGCTAGAGGCGGCCTTCCTCACGGAGAGCACGCTCTAGTCTTGACGTAAAACAGGTGCTCGGAATGCAGTGCCTGCCTCTCGACGTTTCAGCTTGCCTCACGTCACCGCCGGGTACTTTCGGTGCGCAGGTACTACGCGCCCTGCAGGGGGAGAGAGAGATACTTGGCGAGGCGGTGGGAGAGAGACGGGCTGCGGCGCCTCGCTGCTAGCTGCGGCGCTGCGGCAAGCGGCGCGGAGGCGGTGCTAGCTGCTGGCGCGGTGGCGGTGGTGCCGTGCCGGTGGCTCGGCCGGCGCGTTGCTTCCTAGCGCTTCGCCGCTCCGCCGCTTCTGTGTTCTGTCTCTGCCAGTTGGCCGCTGGTCGTCTGGCAATCCGCGAGCTGTCCGCCGCGCGCCGTCCCGCAGCACCCCGAGGAGGCCAAGACCCGCACCGCGCAGGAGGCTGACCGTCAGAGCTCCGCGCATCCAAGGGTCCTCCGGGTCCGATCCGGACGGCGACGCCGGCGACGCGACACCACCCTTTGTTCATCCCGCGGCCTGAGGCGGATCGCACCAGTCGAACGGCGAGCCGACGGCGTGTGGCAGCAAGGCACCAGGTAGGACCTAGGGGTAGGACCTAGGGGTAGGACACCGGCCAGCTGATTCGTCGTTTCGACGCGCTGTCTCTCTCGCACTCCTGCGGTGCGTGCCATGAGTGACGGAGCCACGAAGCGACTCTTCGCGCGAGTGGCCCGGCGTGGCGCCGCGATGCGTCGCGTGGTGCACGACTGCACGACTGCAAGGCGTTTGATGCATTTTGCCGACGCCGGCAGAAACTAAATTTGGAAGTTGGACTTGGCGGGCCGCTCGTCGTATGGCCATGCCGGTAGATTCACCGAGGTAGCCGATGACGCGCGAGGCGGGGCGAGGCGGGGCGCGGTTCGGGGGCGGCGAGCAGTGCGTCTTGGCAGAAAGTAAGCCTAATCTGGACTTTCCCGTCAAGCACGGCAGCGAGGCGAGCGAGGCACTGGAAGCGACAGTCTCTGTGTACTCCGTGATGGTCTTGTTGTTGCTGTCAGTGAAAGTGCTCGGCCCGGGTAACGACCGCAGTGTCCGGGCTAAGAGGCGCCGCCGGCCGAGCGTCCCGGACGACATCCCGGACGACATCCTTGACTCCGGGACTCCCGGCCGGCCGCGGAGAGCTTTGTCTCGTCCAGGAAGGGGTGGGGGAGGTCACGCGGGACAAGACCTTCCCCGCGCTTCCCGCCTCGCAGTACCTCGCGGCGCCACTGCACTGCAGGCCAACGTGCGTGTTGCAGGCCTGCGGTAGCCTGCGGGTGCAGTTGGAGAGTGGTTACGCAGGACCCGCGCCAGGAGGGCTGGCCTAGGCCCTCGTAGCACGGCCCGGCCAGGGCCCGGCAGGCAGATAGCCGGCCACTCATTTGGCCAGCCCGGCCACGCGTGAGAGATTAGATTGGCTGGATGGCGTTTGCGCTTCGAACCGATTTAGACTCGCCTTGACCGTGGCCACGGCCTGGGCCGCCCTGGGCCGGCCTGGCCACACCGCCAGGTGCGCGCGTTATCGGGTCAGCATTCCCCCGCCGCTACTCATCACAGTGCACTGCCTTCCAGCACCCAAGGTGAACAAAAAAGAAGTCCAAATGATCTCAATAATGATTCAAACTGAGCGATTTTTGTGACAATTTGGTCTATTTTGATATCATAGTGACATCATTTGACGCCATTTCGACCTGATTTTGACTTTGTTCTCCTTGCGGTGCCTGCCTACCTTGAAACTGAAGGGGGCGCCCTGCAGGCCTCCCTGCAACCACAGGTGGGCGCCACCTTGCCTTGCCACCGCGGCTTTGCTGGCTTTGGGAAACTGCCTCTGTCCGCCGCCTCGCCACGCCCCGCCCCCACCCCACCCCACCCCGCCGTGCCCGGTGTAAATGACTTGTAAAATCGCGGCACGTGCAGCCTGCCGTATCGCGCCGCCGTCACGTCGCTCTTTTACTGTTGTTGTTTTTGACGAGTGCAACGCGCGGTGCATCGCCACGTGTATTTCTTTTTATTTATCTTATTTTTCCGGGTATACGTACTTCGCGACGCGGCGATGGCAGATGAATGTCCGCTTCGTGACGCCGCTAATGATGTTATGCCATTCCATCAGCACTCAGTAATACTTTGTTGCGGCTGCCGTCTACACCTGAAAAGAAAAAGAAAATCAACCAACACATCAATGAAACGAAATTCTAAAACGATCGAACTAATTCGGTTGGAGTGCGGTTCTCAAACTTCTCTCGGCCCGCATCGACCTCTCCTCGCTAATTTAGTCGTTGACGGCTTTAGGATGAGCCCCGGCGGGCTCGAAATAAGCCGCAGCGACCCGAACCGAGGCTCTCGATCAACGCCGTTCGAGTAGGCAAGGCTGAATTTGTGTTAATCTGAATGTGTCACCTCAGGCACTCACACCCTCCGCGGCGTATCTTATCAGTGACCCGTTGTGTGCTGTGCGATGACCTTGCCTCCAAAGAGAAAAAGGCTAATATCCGCACGTAACTATGGCCGCGTTTTTTGTTATGTTTTGTAAGTTTTGAAATTAGTTTTTTTTTTTTTTTTTTTGCCAAGTTCTGTAGACTTGGCTGCCCAAAGTCTGCAAAATTTGCAACTCTCAAAAATTGATCGACAGACTGGCTTCGGCCTGTACGTGGCAGCTGGTAAGAATCGCGAATGAGTTGTTGACGGTGTTTGTTTCGTCCATTTGATGAGCGATAGAGTTTGTTGTTTGCAAGGGCTGTACGTGCCAGGGCGATAAAGGTGCAGTGGCATGCATTGGGGGGGGCGTGTGCGAGGTGCTCTACGTACGCCGATCGGGAAAAAAATCGCTCTTGCATAAGTGACGGCAGTTTGACCGCAAACAGTGCATCAAACTGCATCGCAATCTTGGCCATTCTCTCCGGCAAACGACTTTCGCGTCAAATTTGCGTAATCGACTCGATGTGCTGCGGCCAGACTTCTTTTCTTTCTCTCTTTGCCACATGGCGTGTTTCTTTTAATCGCGATATACGTTCCCCAACACTGCCGAAACGAAAGAAAGGTTGACAGTTTTGGCCTTGCCGGCCTCGCCAGCCTCGCCAATCGAGCGGGTCTTGATTGTTGGCCCAGGTCCGGGTTAGCGCCGTGGCACGCCGTGGGTAGCGAACCGTTAACAAAACGACTCAACAATCAGGCAAACAGGCGTTATGAATTTCCGCGGCGGAGTGTCTCTGAAAAATGAAAGCAGAAAAAATTAAGAAAACCGGCCGTGGGAACAATGGAAAATCCCGGAACTCCTTTTTTTCCTGTTTCTGCGTTGTTTCTAGCAGTGCTGCGCACTAACGTTGCGATGGGCAGCTTTCGAGGTGTGAAGCTTGGAGCGTGATGCATCCGGATGCAGCACGGATCGACGGGCCTGCTCTCTGAAACGCCGAGGCGGTGGCGGCGCGGGCAGCGCGCGGGGGCGGTCAATAACACTTCACTATTCTTAAACTGAAGCGAGGCGGCGCGGCCGCGCGGACTGTCCGACCTTGGCACTTCCGTGTCGGACGGGAGCCTTTCGCTTAACGACTTTGATGAAAAGTTGAGTAATCTGTTGATGAAGGGTGCGCGGCTGGTTCGATGCTTTCGGCGCGTCGGGTGCAAGTTCAAGCGGCACGGGGCTGGGGCGGCCGGTGGTGGGGGACTGGTGGCACCACGGCTGTTGCCAACGGTCCAGCTCGGCTCCGACCGGCTCAGGAAAGCGTCCAGCAGGTGCAGAGATCCCCGTCGGCGGGAGTGACGGCGCCTCCGGAGCAGAGCCTGGCGGCCCGGAGTCTCTCATGGCGGTCCGTTTTTGGCAGCCGTCGAGTTCGGCCTGCTGGCCACTGGCGGCCACTGCCGGCCACTTCGGCCACCGACAGGGCAAGGTCGTGGTCGCCACGCCAAGCCGGGGGCCCAAGGCGCGAAGGAGCAACAACGCTACAATGAAACTCGGGCCTTTGTCCGGCGTCCCCTACACTGGTCGCTCTCGCGGCACGCGGCCGCGCACGTGGCCTATCTACTCGACTACAAGGATGGCACGGGCTGGCCTCCCTAACTGAAATAATGATTTGCGTCGCGTGTTATCGGCAGTTGCTGCCCATCCCCAACAGCTTGATTCCTGCGTCGCTCTGTCTCTCTCGCACCCCCACGGCGCGCCCCATGAGTGCGAGCGAGAGCGCTCAACGGACTGCGCTCATAGGCGGCGGCAGCGTTTTCGGAGTGTTCTTTTCTTTCCGTCCCGCGAACCACTCGAGCCGCCTGAGCCGCCGTGTCACGTGGATTCGGTTTAATAGACAGCTGTCTCACCCGTTGACACTAACAAGTGTGCGCTGGAGCTCTCGCTCGCGGTTTGCTCGGTTTGCGATGGGCTGCTGTTGTCAGCGGCGGGCAAACACTCGGAAACAGAAGCCTGGTTCTGGCGGAAGACACCCTGAGGTGCCCCTCCCAAGACCTGCCGCCTGAATGCCAAGGATCAGTTTTCGACGCTCTTTGTCTCGCTCGCAACCCGTAGGACTCCCCACGTGAGTGCGAGAGAGACAGAGCGGCGGGACGACCCTTCGGCACGAGACGGTTGGCGACCGGGTTCTTGACCGCGCCGAAAATGTCGGTTTGCACGGCAGCAGCCCGTCCTAGCTTTCGGCCTTTCGAAGGACAAGCGCGTTCCCAGGGCCGTAGACTTTGCACAGTAGGTCGCGCTGGTTCGTCGAGTTCAGTGGATGGATTTTTTCAGGGCGCTTTTTAGTTTTGGCAAGGTTCGCTTGTTAGGACTCGCTTGCGAAATTTGACTCTGCCCGTGTGAGATGGTTTCGTGATAGAGTGGCGGTGAGAACGCGCTGAAAAAGGTCCTAACGCCTCGCCTTTCCTTACTCTGCAGGCACCATGGCGGCGCAGATGGCTTCGTTCACCGACTTCGAGGAGGGCATGATCGCGTTCGACCAGGACGACCCGGACTTCAACGGCAACGCGCCCACCCGGAACCTCAGCTGCAACCTCAACAACAGCTACATCGTGGCGCCAGCGACGTGCCGCTCGTACACCAACGTCGGCGCGGCCATGGGAACCCTTCTCGGTGAGAGTCCGTTCCATTTCAGCAGTTGAATCACAATGTGCGCGCCGTTTGTACGGGTACAAAAAGCAGCGACACTCGTCTTCTTGTTATAAGGCCGTAAGGCGGTTAGTAACCGGGTTTCATTGGTTTACGGCGCGGTTGGACCACGCCACCCGAAGCACGGCTGCCTTGCGGAGACAAGTAGACAAACCTCGGGCGCGGCGCACGGCAGCCTGAATATCAATGAACTGGTCGAACGAGTGAGTGCGTGCGAGCACGCGGCGTGCGCGGACGCCGACGTCAGGCGCTTCCGCGTCCCGCCGAACCGCCGTACACTCGAACAGGTATCAGAAATTTCGGCGAACGCCGGCGGCGCTGCCGTCGCCAGGACCGTACCAGGATGCCGGGAGGCTGTGGCGCCGCCGACCGTGATAGCGGCGACGTCGACGCGCACGTCGGGCGGCACGGCGTCAAGGCAAACTCGCTGAGCCCAGCGCACACCCACGCCACCGCGGTGCGCGCACCAAGGCCCTTATCGCGGAGGAAAACTTGGCGGCTGTCAAAGCGACTCGGATGCCGCCGTAGCACTCTGTCCCTTTCGCTCCCTCTTTCTCTGTCTCTCTCCTGGCCCGAACGCGCGATCGCGACCGCTGGCTGTCGGGAGGTCGGCCGTAGTTCCGATGCGCGTTGACCTTGCCTGCCTTGCCCGCACAGGTTTGGCGCTGCTGACCAGTGTGCCGCCGTGCCGCCACGGAATCAAATTGATGTCACGCCGAGCGTCCCCGGTAATAGCGCGGCTAGGCTAGCCCACGCCGCCGGGGCAGCAGCCGTGCCTAGCCGTGCCTGGCCGCGGGCCCAGTGGCGTAGCTGTCCACGAGGACGCCGTGCTGTTAGGCAGCCCGCCGGCTTGCCTGCGTCCGGGACTGCCTGCCCGCCAGGCGCTTTGGCTCCCATTGGTGGATGTCCTGTCCCCCGCCGCGCCACCGTTGCAAGGGACGCTGCACCGCGGGCTGCGGACGCGAGGGAGGTTGACACCCTTTTTGGCGTCTTGCCGGCCGGCGCGTGCACTGCTCTGGGTCCGTTGGCCCGGTAAGGTGGTCGAGGAGGGGGCGTTCTCCTAGTTACGCGGGCCTCGCTGCGCCCGGCCGCGCCCGCTCGGCCCGGCCCGTGACTGCACTTGACAACATCCTGGCCGATTCTGGGCGATGACGCCAGGGTAAGGACCTCGCGGCGCCTTGCGGTGCGGTGACCGGAGAGCCGCGAGGAAGTGCTGGCGGCACGGCCGGCACGGGACGTCCGCCGCTGCGCCGCACCGCGCAGTGCTGACGGTGCCGACGAGGCCATCCCGTAAATATTGATTCGCTTCGACTGCGCGGCGCGCGGCCCTTGGTCGCGGATGGATGCGAGGACTCCACGGTCTCGGACCTCTGCCTCCGTCGTAGTTGCCACGGTCGTCGTCGTCGTCCTGGTCCCCAGACGGAGCCCCGCCCGTGCGGTGCGCACAATGCGACGGCTTCCACGGGTTCCCACGACACCACGCCGCGGGCTTCGTTGACCGCGAGCAGCACGCCGCTCGTGGGCACTAAGTTTGCATTTCAAAGGCATGCAGGCCACGCCCTGGCCACGCGGCGTGATCGGCCGCCCACGCCAGCACCTCGTCAAACTCAGCAGCACGGCGGTGGGCTGGTCGGCTGGCGCTGAAGACCGGGCGAAGGTTTTGGACTTGATGATTGAGAACGTGACACCCCGACAGGAGCGCCGAGGGCGGCCGAGGGCCCCGGACACCCAATCTAGCACCTGACCTTGCACAACGCACGCAAAGCCACGCGAACGCGAAACTCGATGTGAAAATGAATGACAGACACCTGCGTGCTGCGCGGCGGGCGGTGCCCAGGCCGCCCAGGCGGTGCCCGAGCGGTGCCCAGGCGGTGCCGCCGGCGCGCTGGCTCGGGCTGCGGGGACGCCCCGCCTCGTCGGGCAGGTGGACAGAGGGCGCGCCGCGTCTACCAGGAGCGCAAACTGCCAAGGAGGTGGCTCGCCGCTCGCCGCTCGCCGGGCCCGACCAGGCGACCCTAGTGCCCGTGCGGACCTCTCGCCTCTCACCACTCCTCTCACTGGCCGGCGCGCCGCAACGCGCCGCACCGCGCCACGCGGCCCCACCGCCAGCGGAACACCGGGCGGCTATTGGTGCGCGAGGTGCGCGCCGAGGCGCGGGAAGGGGAGGGGAGGGAAGGGGTATTCTTTTTATTTCTGGCGGAACGAAGCAGGCCGGCGGAGGCGTCGGCACGCTCTTTTAGCAGGATGTAGTTTCTTTCGGTAATCAGTGCGGTTTATTTTTTGCCGTCGAGTTATTCAAAGAAGTGCACGTCGTTTTGCGGCGAGTGCTAACCAAGACTGACGTCGGGCGCCCCGCGTTGTTGGCGGTGTCAAGCCGTCAAACGGAGCGACATGACGCGACATGCGATACGCCGGCCCGCCACTCGACGTGTGCACTGCACTGTGGCCAGTCTGTGCCCATCCACTCAATTTGCCTCGAGGGGTCAAACCGCAAGAGCAATTTGATTAGGCGGGGCGCGAGGTGGGGCCGGCCGGCCACAGCAAGCCACTCACCACGCAACCCCGCGGGCCACACCGCGGCGCGGACGGGGCATCGCCAGCGCTGCCGGCCAGCGCCGCTGCGCCGTGGAGGCAGACAGCCCAACCGCCACCCGGCGGGCTTTGCCAGCTTCGCGCCGCGGCCGCTAGATGGCGGCACGATGGCGGTCTGAGCGACAGCCGTGCCGCGGTCGCCGCGGTCCGCGGTTGGGCCCGTCCGCCGACAGGGGGCGCCCGCGCCGCGATTCGGAGCGCGCAACGCCGCGCGACCTTCACCTCGAAGCTGTTGTGTGTGTCCGACAGAGAAAGGCAGATACGGAGCGGCTTTTCTGTACAGTACTGTACAGTACCTTGGCAAATGATCAAAGAAAGATGAGTAAGCAGGTCGAGACCATTATCCTCCCTGATCCTCTCGGCGGCCGCGCGGCTCCCTCGACGCCCTTTCTCCGGTTGCGACTTTCGCGGTGCTTCGCCGTTTCACCCACCGGCCCCGAAGCACCGCGAAGCACCACGCCGCTGTCGACGCCGTCGTTGTGGTGATAAAGTCGGTGCGCCATCCTCGAGGAAATGAAGCGATTCATTACGCGGGTCAACGTACAGCGTGCAGGGGCACGGCGGCACGGCGTACTCGAGGTGCAGCGCGGCACCTGGCTGCCTGGCTGCCTGCCTGGCCGGCCGCGGGCGGCGACCCTTGCCGGCGTGGCGCACCACGCGCCGCCCGCAGCCGGCACCGCCAGCAGGCTGATTCCGAGAGTCATTTTCGTCGGCCTGTCTCTCTCGCACCTTGAACGGAACGCCCTGTGAGAGCGAGAGGGATTGGACGACTGTGGCCGCAGCGAGCAGGAAATGACATCGGTACGGCGCGGCGGGAGGCAATGCCCCTGCGCCGCCTTGCGCCGCCTTGCGCCCTTGCGCCGCCTTGCGCCCTGCGGACTGGACGCGAGCCACGCCCCGCCGCGCCCGCTCTCGCGCACGCCTTTTTAGGGTCGTTAGAGTGTCGTCGGGCTGGGGATCGTCTTTTGGGCGGCGAGATCATTCCTGGACGACGTGCCTTGACGGCGTGCTCCGACGGCCGCCCTTCTGCGCCACGGGGGCCCTGTCCTGGCTGCTAACCCTAGCCCCGTGCCGGCTGCTTCCAGGGCCTGCCGTTCGAGACGTGAGTTCCTGGTCCGGGGGCGGGGCGGGGCGGGGCGGGGCGGTAGAGGGTGAAAAGGGAGAGGCCTTTGGCGCCCACGCTCTGCGCTCTGCACCACGGCACGCCCCTCAGCCAGCAGTGCGGCGTGCGGCGCGTGCTGCAGAATCGGCCACGGCGCCACGGCGGTGAGGTACTGAATGAAGTACTTCTGGAACTGCCGTGGGCGTCGTGGCAGGCGCGGCTCGTGGCGGCGCATGGCGGTGCATGGCGGTGCATGGCGCGTGGTTGAATCGAATGCGCCCGTGGCGTGTCCCTCGCGGTCCTTGTCAGATCGTACAATTCAGGCCGTGCTCCCTCGACGCGCCAGAATGCTTTTGATGCCTTTTCTACGGAGTGCGATTTCCCGCCTTAGTTTAAGGGCAGCAGTCTGGTCGCAAAGTTGGTCAAAACGGTAACACATGCGTAGAAATCGTGATTTGCGGCCACTGCTTTCAATCGAAGCCGGGATCTTACTCTCTGTCTTTGTCTCCCTCTTTGGTACTCTCGCTCGCTCTCTCTGCTTGCCCCACGCGTCCCGGCCCCTGTACCCCGCGGCCCCTCGCGGCCCTTCGCGGCCCGGCCGGCACCGTTCGCGCCTCGCCGGTCGATTCCTCGGTGATGACGTGCCAACGGCAGCCTACGGCAGCCTACAGCAGCCGACTGCGGGGAGGGTACGTCACGACCGTGCGCCGGGTCGGGCCGGTGCGCCACCCACTCGGCCCGGCCCACCCCATGGACCACGGACCGCGGTCCATACGGCGCGCGGGCGGGCGGGCAGGCAGGGGCGACGCCCGGAGTGGACCGCGTTCTCTGGGCCCCGCTTTGGGCCGTCTAAATTTAATTCGCACAGAGTGAGTGCGCGGGCCGCAGGGCCGCAGGCAGGCCCGAGCAGGAAAAAAGGCAGCGCTGATGACGCGACGCTCGACCTTGCCTCGTCGCTGCAGGCTCATTCCGAACAGTGTTTTCGTCGCTCCGTCTCTCTCGCTCTCATCGGGGTAGGGGTGCGAGAGAGAGTGAGGAGGGAGTCTGCCGGCGCCGGCGGCGGGCCGCCCCAAACCTGACGTAACCGTGACACCCCCGTCGTGACCTGCCTGTGCCCGTGACCCGCTTGCGCTCGTCCGCGCCAAGCGGCGAGAGGCGCCACCCCCTGGGTGCCCGGGGCCCGGGGCCTCGCCAGCCTCGGGCAAGGGGGCCGCCCCCGGCCGCCCCGCAGTGGGCAGGGGCAGGTCTGTTTTAGCGAACCTCTCATCTC